CTTATACATGTAGTTCTGCTTCAATTCATTCTCATTTACCCAAGGTATTTTACGCAGTTTTATACAGTAAGCTTATCTTAGATATGCATGTCGTTTTATATTTCAGTGGACAGAGCTTATGAAGGTCCCTACGCATTTAACCACACAAGAACCAGGCCGCGAGGACAATGTGGTGTCCAAAGTGTTGACTCTGTTCCAACAGGCGACTTCTATCTGTAGTTTAGAGGCAGAGCTGATACTGAAAGATCATTCAGTGCGCGTTAGAACATCTGGCGGACCTGTACAACTAGCTCGATGCCGCCTCATTCTGGACACGGAGAAAGGTAAAATTACGTTTAAAGTCCACAAGTCGGCCGCTCTTGCAATGGCGGTACCTGGTGCCGTAACCAAAGTCGTGCTTGCTTTGAACACCACCCTTAATTGTCTTCCCATTCAGACCAAGTCGTCAATTATCAAAGCGTTCAATGCTATTTTCAAAGTGCTCACAGCCGGGAACTCAATAGATGACGTCAGAAACGACGCAATGTTCGAAGATAACCTCATCGATCCAGAAAAAGCTCTGAGCGAGGCAACCTTTACAGCCCCTAGCAAGTTGTTTTCTACAGTCTTAACAGTGGATGTTAAGATAATATGCCCGGGAAATGTGGTCGTGGAGTTCAAGAAAAGAGAGATGTTGGCCGCCTTGAGAAGGCAGAGAGTGGTTCTAGATGCGAAACAAAGTCTCCAGATCATCAAAGAACCCCGCTCAATTTTAAGAGGGAAACAAGTCCAAACAGCGATGACAGCTCTAGCTTTATGGGTTTCGTCTAGTTCGCAATTCAACGCTTGGCAAACTACTCTTGAAGTTGTGAAATGCTTGCAGAAAGCCTGTTCTTAAGCTGAAAGATCGAATCATCAAAGACTTTTTACACGCACATGATAGCTAAAAATGTTGTGACTCCGATCCTCTCTGGTTGATTTAAACGGCAATTTCTCTTTTTTGTTGTTGTTGTTGTTGTTTTGTTTTGTTTTTTTTAGTTTTTTTGCTGTTGTTGCGTGTTGTTTCGTTCAGTGACCCCTCATCAGAAACATTACTATTAAATGCCACGAGAATTTAATTTATTCTGATTAGGCTATGAAGCGAGGGAAATCCCTGTATATTCTCTCTGCAGGATTGGTTTGATTTCATTTCCTAACCAGTTAAGGACGAGAGAGAGTGGCCGTGACAACTGTTAAGCTTTCGAAGTAGAGAAAGTATCAGTTTACGTAACACTAGTGCACCACTCCGCCAGTGTCACGCAGTATTATTTTTTGTGGAAGCTTTGAGGAAATTTCCCATTCGAAGAGACCCTGGGAGTATTTTACCATTTGAATGAGCGACTAATGCCCAAAAGAGCCGCTAAATTTGTAAAGAGAGCAAGGTCCAACATAGGATGGCTTGAAGTTTTAAATGCGGAATGACGGCGATTGTTTATTGAATCGCCCTTTTATATTTATTTTTATTAAAAACTGGATCGTGGGATAATGCAATTGAAGACTTTTTATTGGCTTGGCCATTATGGTATATGAGCCAATATACCATAATGTAATATCTGTACAATGTAACATCCGGCTATCTATCATCTCATATCCAACGCGCGCTCGTGGAATAGTTGTTAAATATTTAGCTGCTTCTTATTTGACTTTCTTAGATTTTTATTAACTAGTTCTGTAAGATTTTATACATAAACAGGAGACCCTTGATATAGGGTTAACCTCTGGGTTTCCTTTTTCTTAATAACTATGTATTTGTATGTTGATCTGAAATAAAGTATTGTACGGAGATATCTAAAACGTGGATGGAATTGCACTGAAATGAGAAAATAATTAATGATTAACAGGCAAAATTAAAAGAAGCATAGTTAAATCATAATTCGTTAAAGCCTTGGAAAAGAGGAACAGTGAGGTTCTTGAGCTAGCCCTATAAATTATCATCACTATTTCTTTTGTTATCATTATCATTATTTTTGTAAATATGATTTTTTGTTATTATCATTGGTTGAATGTCAAGAAGTACTATATTCTTGAATCATCTTTCTCTTGTGGAACACGGTATTCAAAAATACGTAAGAAACGGCACCCAGTTTTGCATCTTTGTACAAATCTTCTCAAACACTACCTCGTAGCATTATCGCACAACCTCTCGTTCTTTTCAGTGCTATAAAAAATTATGCGTTATCAGTTGGCACTGGCAGTTTTAGAATTGTCTCGATCGAAAGGCTCGATTGCTATGCTAAATTACCGAATGATTGATAAGTTCTCAAATCCTCAAATTATGCCGCCGTGACTATGCAAGTTCAGAAATGTTCGTACGTAATTTTCAGTTTCTCAGAAAAAGCAAAAAAGCAACAAACCTACATTTTCCTCTTCTAATGAGAAAAAGAAGAAGTTTCATGTGAACCGTTCCCGGAGACCCTGGGGCTGTGAGTCGATTTCAAGTTAGGGCGGAAGAGCTCTTCTGCCCTAACTTGAAAACGACTCACAGCCTCTGGGTCTCCGAGGATGTGTGAACTGTAAAAACATGAAACGGGTGAGGGCACGGATGTCGTAAGTTAGGACAATCTGGGTGAGGATGTCGCCGCGACACGCAGCGGCCAGTACGTTGCTGCAAATATTCGCCTCATATGATTTGACAAAATTTTTGAGAAAAACCTTTGTCGTTGCGCCGTATGTCGCTTAAATTCAAACAGAGTTGGACTTAAAATTTTGTTACCGCAACGAAGATTTTTCCCCTTTATCACACGGGGCGTACTTCTCGGTGAGCTTACTCTGGAGTCGGTACACGCTACCCTTATCGAAACGGGCAGAAAAATAAATTTTATGCTTTGTCTCATACTGACTGCATGGAGCCGCTCAGCCTAAGTAAGACAAAGATTTAACGTATTATTTTGAAAAATTCTTGATACCAGAAATATTGACCGTGTAGGCGCACGCTGACAATATTTACACTAGTGTTCAAGAATTTGCTTCCGGAAAGATGCCCTGTTAGATAACAAAAATAGTAAAAACTGTGTACCCAGTCTAGGATTCAAATTTGCGAAAACCATGCCCGCTTCGAATGTAGTTCCTGTCTATTCCAAATATCCCGAGGGAGGGGTATGACACAGCGCTCATCCTCAGGGCCACGTGTGTTCGCCTGATTCTAAGAATCAAAGTGCAGTCAAGCGCGTATCACGTATCGCGTTGTATTTCGGGGGTGGAAGCGGAATAATTGGATCTCACTTATTCATTATTACTTTCATTTTTTTCGAGGTTATTCATTATTCATTTTTACATTTTTCTCGTTATTCATTATTCCGTGTTCGAGTGTTTTAGGCAGTTTCTAATTCGCCTTATTGTGAAATAGATGATTTCACTTAATTAAAATGTGATTTCAAACCGTCGTCGTCATGTTCAATCTAATT